TTCCTTTAATCATACTTGATCTCTCTAGATCTTCTTTTAAGAATCTCGTAAGGCTTAACGTTGTCAGGTCGAACAACATTTCTGTTGTCATCTCTTGAAGCCATGTCTGAAAAATCACAACAGAATTTCACTTCTGTGATTCCAAAAATTAAACTTAACCCTTAGAAAATCCCTCAGATGGAAATTTAATTCAGAACTAGTCTCACCATTTAACCTAGAATCGAACATGGTCAGGAATGTTCCCAGGAAGATTGGAGGGATCACATCGGTGACACTTAAAACCCAGTTAACCTTTTGACAAAGCATTCAAGAGCATGTTGACTCCTAGTCCATGGGAAACAATTTTAAAATTAAGATTTCCAAGGCATAAACCAGGTTATAGGTTATAACAAACCAATTCCCAAGCAAATAAAATTTGCTACCAGAATTACACTACTCATAAAAGTTAACCGGTACTCCCGGAACTGAGCCCATGAAAGTTAACCGGTACTCCCGGAACTGAGCCCATGATTTCTGAATAAAAATCAGAGATATTTTAGCTAATGCTAAAATTTGGTTTCCTTTCTCAAAACCAAACACTTTGGACATTATCAGATTATAACCAAAGACTTTCTCCAAACACGGTTTTCCAACACTTTGGGAATAAAATGATTAAACCTAAAGACTTCCTCAAACCCCAAAGGTTTGAAACCAAATCCGTCTTAGTTGTCATTTCTGAACAAACAAGAACTACTCTTTAGCCAAGGCTAAACACTTTGGTTTCTATTCTAAAAAACCAAACCAAGTTCCAAACTTACAAGCAATTTAAAAATTGTTACAACCAAATACAGGCATATAAAATGCTTCTAATAATATAAGCAAATAAAACTTGCTGCTTCAAATTGGTAAACAAACCAACTAAATCTCTGAAGCCCTCTTGGCTGTTGCTCTCTAGCAAACTCAAACCTTAAGACACTTTAGCTGAAGCCCTCTGGCAAACTGTAGCCCTCCGTCTAATGCATTCTTTGCAAACTTCAAATGTTCTCATGCTCTCTAGTAGAAAATGAAGCCCTCTTGCTAAAATGAAGCCTACTGGCTTTGCTCAACTCATGCCGTCTGGCAAAAAATTTCTTCAAATATAAAAGAAAAATAAACCAATCCAATTGAGGATTATAAGTAGTCCATACAATTCCTTTCTACGCTTAGGTATGCCTACAAAGAGAGTTAGTAGCAAACGACAACATAATATAAAGCAATTAATCTAAAGCAATTGTACATACAATCAGATATTATTTAACCTTCTAGCAAATCATAGAATAGCAAAATAATTAAGAAATTAAGATACTATACAAGTTACAAAACCTTATAACTTCTACATAAATTACAAAACTTTAATTCATCCAATTAAATCACACACTATTCATGGAAATAAATACACAAGTTACAAACCTTAAAATTTATGATCTCAAATACTAAAATTAAATTTATTGCCATGAGTTATAAAACAATTATTAAATAATTGTTAGAAACCAATAACCATTTAGCAATTAACATGAAAAAAATTCTAAAGATTAAATCATGTAAAAAAACTAAAAGCTAGAAACTAAATAACATGTCAAAACTTGCAACATCCATAAATTATATTTTATAAAAAATATATATATAAGTCTGTTACTGTTGTTCAAATTATGAAATTAAATAAATAGATTTATGAAGAAATCAAATTATATACCAAGAACACATGCAAATAATTACAACTAAATTTTAACAGAAATACACAAAACAATAAAAGGGTAAAGAAACGAAAACGAAGCCTGCACGGTAGCAGTTTCCTTAAAACAGATTTCGCCGCCTCACGGGTCGAGTGTTTGAGAAATCCCGACGTCTGTCTCCCAGGATACGACGGTCAAAACCAGCTACGATAGAAACACTATCTGTCTAGCTTAGCGAACAAAACAGTGGCAGCATTCTCTCATAATAGGAACTTTATGGCAAACTGACTAAAGAATGGAAGAAACAATTTCTGTGTTTGAGACTTGACAGGAGGGTCTCAATTTATACATGTATAGGGGAGAGAGAAGAAGCAGGAGTTACAAACCCCATTAATGCACTATTAAACTCTGCAATAAAGGCAGGAGTTACAAACCCCATTAATGCACTATTAAACTTAGCAATAAAGGCAGGAGTTACAAACCCCATTAACTCTTTCATGAAGCTAACTTTATGGGGCAATTTCTCATTCAATTTTCAATGGTTTTGGCTATACCATTTATGGTGTAAAGATCTCATTGTAAAGTATCTAGACCCACTTGGACCCAACACAATAGACGGTTGGGACCCACTTTAATATTTAATTAAAGTCACCAAAAAACCATTTTTTTTCCAACACTCATTTCTTCACATAATGGGTGGTTTTGGCATACCGAAAGTAGCCCGAAAACCAACTTTGGAAATTTCAAAAACTTCCCTCTTTGTTTCTTTCTTCTCCACCTTCCTTCCTCTTCTCTTTCTTCACCTATAGTAAGTTGTGTGTGGTGGTTCTAGGTGGAAATTGAATTAAGTGATAGTGGTAGTAGTGGTCTAGTAGTGTTGACAGTGGAAATGATTGCAATGATGGTGATGGATTTGATGAAGTAAAGAAGAGATGAAGATGAATGGAGGAATGAGAGATAGTGATGATGAAGCTCACATGATGGGTTGGTGTTGAAAGGTGGTGGTGATAATAGTGCTCACAGTAGTGGTGGTGTTTGATGAAGGTTATGAAGATGTATGTATATATATATATATGTAATATAGATAGATAATTGATAAAGAGAGATGGAGAACCGAGAGAGCTCTGAGAGATGGTGAGGATATGAGATTATGATGCATATGGATATCTATATATTTATATATATAGATATATATGTAGATAGATAGATTATAGAAATAGGGAGCAGAGAAGTAAGGGAGTGGAATGAAATACATCACCATCACGACCCGAACCACCACCACCACTGCGATCACTTAATTTTGTTTCCATCTAGAACTACCCTACACAACTTGCTATAAGTGAAGAAAGAGAAGAGGAAAGAAGGTGGAGGAGAAAAAAACCAAGAGGTTAGTTTTTGGAATTTTTTAAGTTGGTTTTCCGGCTACTTTCGGCATGCCGAAACCATCCATTACATGAAGAAATGAGAAATTGAGGTAGCGTTGGACGAAGTAAGAAGTGAGATGAAGAGATTGGTGAAAGAATTGAGTAAAACCGTTAAGAATCGAGAAAGTTATGGAGCTCAAAAAATGGCTTGAAGAAAAGCAAAAAATATAAAGAAAATTCTTTTTTTGGTCAACTTTTAGAGCTTCGACAACATGTAAAAAGAGGTGGAACAAGGCGTATAAGGGGTGGAATGAAAATTAGGCCATGAGGTGAATTCAACGACATGAAAATGTGGCGAAACAAAATTATGACGAGAGAGATACAAATGTTTGAACATATGTGTTTGAATTTGAAAAAAAAAAAATAGAGAAAAATATTATTTTTGGCCAACTTTTGCAGCTCTGACGGCATGTAAAATGAGATAGAACAAGGTGTATGAGGGGTGGAATGAAAATTAGGCAATGAGGTGAATCCAATGATGCGAAAATGAGGCGAAACATAGTTACAATGAGAGAGATACAAGGTTTTGAACATGTGGGTTTGAATTTGAAAATTTTGCCAAGATTTCCGTTCGTTCAATCAGACAGAATGGATTGGAGGGAGGGGTTAAATTGTGACACGGGAGTAACATTAGGGTTTTAATTATTACAATTGAAACCTTAGGGTTTAAATTGAAAAACACGCTAGACCCTAGGGTGTTTTTTTAATTTTCCCTAAATGTTTTGTTTTATTTTGAGTGCTGCTATTAACCTCTATTAATTATTTTGGACGCCCTCATTTCTTTGGACCCCCACTTATAGCCCTTAAAAAAAAATTTCTCCTCTAAAATAATATCAAAACTATCCTTGTTAAAAACATTCCATTTATTCAATTGAATGCACACCCCTACACCCCAAAAAGTCTCTCTTCCCAAAACCCTAACAAAACTCATGAAAGTGATTTGCTATTTCATCTCCACATATTTGTTCATGACTTAAGAAAATAAATATAATTTTTTTTATTCAAAATTCTTCTTTTTGTGAGTTCTACGATCTCCATGAGTTTCGGTTATCTGTTCCCGAACAAATAAGAAATGTTCGATTATCTGTTCCTGAACAAATAAACAATGTTCAAGCCCGTGTTCCCAAATTTCAGTCATATTTTCGGGAGTTCAATCTCAAAAAAATGACGAATATTTTTTTATTATTTTTTTTAAGAAACTTACTCTTATAAGGTCAATATCCTCTGAGCTGAGAACACCATCAAAGTTATGAATCTCCTCTAAACTTGTATTGTTGTACTCCTCTCATCTTATGGAGTTGTGGTTGTCGAAAAACTTTCACTATTGCCATTGCCTAAAAAGTATAGGTAATCAAATGATTTTCACTGTTATTGTCGAAATATTGCCGCCAAAGGGTTTTTAAGTTTTTGAGAGTGGATAGGTTTTGGGGAAAGATGGATAAATGGTGATAGAGATGAATACTTTCATAAACTCTAACTCATAATGCAGTGGGTGTGTGGACTTAATTGTGAGATAGGATGTCTCAAAATTATTGATATCTTTTTTAAAAATTTTATTTGAGATTATTATCGTAATAAAAAAAAATAAATAAAGTAAAAAACAACCATCTTAAGCCTTGTTTGTCATCTACTATATAATCCATCTTTTTATCTTTTTATATTTTTTCCATCACATCACCTCTCTACTTTTCTGCACATCTTTTCATAAAAAGACAAAAAGTGTACTTTTTTAGTACACCCCAAACCAACCCAATCCTTGTCTAAAATTTTCATATTGGAATGCGGCAAGAGGAACATGTGGGCACGAGGATGACACATGGATGATCCAAACAACCCACAAATCCTCAACGTTTGTTGTGTAATCCTCATACACGTCACTTGACCCAAGTCCATATACAACTTCCTCAACAAGCTTGTTTCAAACGCATTTCCTCTTCTTCTCTACCCGACAACCCCATTCTTGACAAAGATCAAAATGCCCATTTTCACGGCAGCATTAGGATCAGTCTCGGGCCTTGCTTTTCTCTCAAACCTCTTTAGCAGTAGTGACACTACCTTTCAGTCTTATCACCATTCCTCTTCACTCTCGTCTCTCTCAAACCCTTCTTTCAACTTTCTCAATTCTTGCCGGAACTCACCAATTAGGAGACACCCATTTCACACTTCTAAGGTTTCCGTCTCCGGCGATGCCAAAACCGAAGGCTCCTCCGCCGCCGCAGGAGTCATTGAAGACTTATCTGAATCATCTGAGAATATTAAGCAAGCACGGGTGTGTTTCATTCTCTTGTTATTTTCAATATTTTTTTGTGAATTTCTGTTCTTACATCTGTTTGATCACTGACTAAACTCAAGAATATGGTGAATGAAAGAAAATAAGATTTGGGTTTTTCATTTTGGTCACAACCCATGTCGAAGTTGAGACTAATTGTATATATGCATTGAAATAATCAGCACTTGTTGTGAATTAGGTAGTCATTTTGCTTTAATTGTTATTTGTTGGATCTGGTTTTTCTTTTTAGGCACAAGCCATTTTGAGGTCGAGACTAATTCTATATATGCATTGAAATAATCAGCAAATGTTGTGAATTAGGTAATCATTTTGCTTTAATTGTTATTTGTTGGATTTGGTTTTTCTTTTTTGTCACAACCCATTTCGAAGTTGAGACTAATTCTAAATATATGCATGAAATAATCAGCAAATGTTGTGAATTAGGTAATCATTTTGATATAATTCTTATTTGTTGGATTGTGGCTTCTTCATTTTATATTATAATTGGCCTATATCACTCTATGTAACTGAAGTTTATTTCTTGCAAATAGTAATCATAGTGGTGGAAAAAATTGTTACAATGCACTTAATTACTCTCAAGGTGAAATTAGCATTGTGTTAGGATTAATGTTGGTATTGTGGGTATATGTTGATAGTGAAACGTGCGATTATTTCAACATTTGATAATCATCAGATTGCGGGTATCATGTTTTCAGTTTTTTGAAAGAGGTGATTAGATTTTCTCTTGATCCATTGTTGTAGCTATTTTCTATCACAATTGCAAAGGATTTTGAAATTGAGGATTTGGGATTAATCAATTATTAATTGGGTGTATTCTTCATCTTTAAGGTAGTGTCATGCTATGATTAATCTGCAAAATGCTTTTTCCCTTACTATTCTTCTTAATTTTTAATTTTTTGGTTTTTACATTGGTTCTTTGAAACATTGTAATTTAATTACAATTTTAGAGGAAATATAGTTTGGTAAAAACTTTGTTCATGTGCCATTCATCTTCTATTTTCCCATGTATGTTCTTACACTAGGAAAATGGCGCTCATGCTTGTATATGCTTATACATGCAGAAATATCTATATTGTTAGTATATAAATTGCTAAAAATGATACTAGTTGATTACGTTGATCATTTAAGATAACAATTATTTATTTATTTATTTTGAAGCATGGCTACAAAAACTTTTACACTAGTCCCTTCCAGAACTGGGAGCATAAAGGAGAGGGTAATGTTTTAGATTGAATCTCCTCCTGACCCTAGATCAGTGGTGCTTACTAGTTATTTGGGCTTTCTACCCTGCCCTGTCACTATCACTTGTTAAATGTCCTTAGTTATAAGAAGAAAAAAAGAAACAAAGAAAGTAAAGAAAGAATATAAGCCTAAGTTAGTGAAGTCATTGGATGCAACATAATATAGCATCTCATTCATGCATGTACCAAGCTTCATAAACTAAATTGCTAACATGAAGCTGCATAACAGTTTTAACCACTTTACTGCTGCAATGGTGCGAGTGATGTATCATTATCTGTTTGTAAAAACTTCTGAAAAGAACCTAAATACCTTTCCCTATGCATTAGTGAAAAACTAAAACGGTGTCCATATATATATGTACATATATGTTCCATTAGAGTTGGATACTCTAGATTCATTATGTCATCTAACACTTTGTCTCTACAAAGAAGTAGAGGTCTGCTGATTGGAAGGTGGCAAAGGCTTATAATGAAAGTGGATACATTCATGAAGGAAGGATTGAAGGTTTTAATGGAGGAGGTTTGCTGGTTCGGTTTTATTCTCTTGTTGGTTTTCTTCCATATCCCCAGTTGAGCCCATCTCATTCATGTAAAGGTACTAATTCTCTTCTTTCTATCTTAAATCATAATTTTGGATTACATTTTCTATTTATTGTTTTATCCTCATATTGCTACTGCCTTGGTGTAAAATGGACTTTGTAAATCATGTATTATGTCACCAGCCATTTGTATTTGTGTCATGACCCAAACCCGCCCCTATGGGTTAAGGACATAACCGGCCAGTAATCAAGGGATTACCTATGGCCTCAAACCAAACAAGACGTAACTCATCAGAGTAAAGGGACCAAACGGAAGCAATTTAAAACTTTGTCCATAGAGCTGTGCTTACACGGCACATTATAACAAACATATGCATACATGTTAATAACCCACATCAGAATATGTAATAGCGTAAAGTTCTGTACATACAGGATCATTCAAGTCTAAGTCAGCCAATCAAAACTATACACAACCGTAATCCGAAGTTCTCGCCATCATAACAAAATATAGCAAAATAGTAGAAGGGCAAAAACAAGTCTCGTGCATGAGACGTATGGGCTGACTCTTCAAAACCTTGACTGTTTCTCACAAACTTCCCTGAGGCTGGGTTTGGACCTCCCTTGGCTCACCTACAGACACATAAATGAGCGTGAGCAAAAGCCCAGTAAATTATATCAAATAAAGAAGATACACGAACAGTGTTTAGAACGGCATGCACCAAACGGTCTTGGGCCCAATTCATATATCTATCTAGTATATACATACATATATAGGTCAAGTAACTACGGTACCAAACACGTCAGACGGCCTCGGACCCAATCTATTCATGTCAAACGGCCTTCGGCCCATTTATCTTTCATTCCTGTCAGACTGGCCTTTGGCCCAACCGTTCTTTCATTCATGTCAGACTGGCCTTTGGCCCAATCATTCTTTCATTCATGTCAACTGGCCTTTGGCCCAATCATTCGTCATAGCAAACATTTGTCCATAATTCAAATTAACAAACTTATCAGACTTATAGGGGAGATAAGTAATTGGACGAATAACTTAATTCAAAACATCCTTATTAAGATATTACTCACAGTGATCGGCTGGTTGATTTGCCCTGGAGTTTGACTTTACACGTTACATAACACATATGGGTCACAAACGATTCAATCCGTTCTTAATTTATACACCCCTCTTAGGCTTCTTTCTTGTCTTTTTTATTCATTCATAATGCTCAATGCATGCCTAAGAGTACTTAGAAGTGAAAGAGAACGGAAAATGAAACACAGAACGCTTTTATAAAATTTCTGAAACAGGAGTCCCCGCTCAAGCGTGAACTCCCTTGCTCGAGCGGACCCGTTAGGTCTGCAAAAGTCCTGGTTGCCTCATTTTTACGCTCGAGCGTGAAGTCGGGCACTCGAGCTGAAAGTCTCCCTACATGGCTCCCTGCTCGAGCGTGAATATCCCCGCTCGAGCGGACACCCATGTCTGCAAAACTTCTGGGAGCTCGTATTTCCCGCTCGAGCGGACATGCCAAATTCTGGAAAATCCAGAATTGTTCTTGTTAAAAATTGATGTATTATTGATTGTTGTATGTTGTAAATTACAAATGGTGAGGGGCTCCTTATATAGGAGATGTAGTGGAGTAGGTAGTAGTAGGTGGTAGTGGTAGGTGTGTAGTAGGTGGTAGTAGGTGGTGGTAGGTGTAGTAGGTGGAGTAGGTAGTAGTAGGTGGTAGTGGTAGGTGTGTAGTAGGTGGTAGTAGGTGGTGGTAGGTGGAGTAGGTGATGGTAGGTTTTAACAACCCCTCGCAAACTCAAGGGGGATAGGAACTAACCAACTTGAGTTTGGAGAGAGTAACAAAACAAGAAAATAATCTGAAAAATAAAAAATGGATAGGAGACACTGTATGGTCGTGTCAGACCGTTGTAGAAGACTGTATGGTTATGGCAGACCGATGTAGAAGACACTGGCTCGTGTTGGACCGATGTAGAAGACAGTTTATGGGGTCATGTCGGACCGTTGTAGCAGACAATGTTGTGACAGTTGTTGTGACAGTTTACGGAGTCTTGCTGGACCCTTGTAGAAACTAACTTGAACCTTTTGAACCAAAGATTACAGAGTCTTGTCGAAGCTTGAACCAGCTTGAACCTTTTGAACCATTGGTTTTAGCTTCTCCAAGAAGCTTGAACCTTTTTAGCTTCTCCAAGAAGCTTGACTCTTTTGTTTTGGCTTCTTAGAGAAGCTTGAACCCTTTGCTTAGCTTCTTGAGGAAGCTTGACCCCTTTGCTCTAGCTTCCTCAAGAAGCTTAGCCCTTTTGCTACAAGCTTCTAAGAGAAGCTTGGCCCCTTTGCTCCAAGCTTCTCCAAAAAGCTTGGACCTTTGTTCCTCTATAAAAGAAGAGCTCCTCTTCTATTGCAAGGGTTCCAAAAATTTTGCTAAGGCAAACAATATACATCTCTCTATATCTCTCTATTTTGAGCTTCAAATTGCTTGGTTCTTGGTCCTTTTGCACACCAACTCTTAGCCTAACACCTCCATCATCAACCTAAGCATCTTGCAGGCCATTTTCAGAGGTTGAAGGCTTGCTGTTTTGGTCCAGAAGCTGCTGGTCCCTTTGGCTACAAGGGTAACACTCTATTTCCCTCTTTTTGGTGTTGTTTTGTTCCATCTCTTAGCCTAGTTTTCAAGCATATTTGGGCTTTGTCATAAACCAAAAAAAGTCTTATTTTGAGGTCCTTAACATGTTTTTTTGAGACCATTTTTCTATTGGGGGTCATCTACCCCCTTGCATGCATCATTTCATCTTGCTTTAAGCCATGCATTAGGGCCTTTGTGTTGAGCTTTGTTGGCCCTTTTGACCACTGAAATCTGGCGGATTTTCAATGGTTATTATGTGTTTTTGACCACCAAAATCAGAGAGGGGTGACCCTCTTACCCCTTGTCTTGTTTACTAGCACTTTTAGCCTAACAAAGGAGCCCTTATTTGCATGTTTCCAAGCCATGTTGCAGGATTTTTTTGGTGTGTTTTAGGACCTTCATAGGCTTTGTCCAGAGCCCATTTTTCCATTTTAGGTGTCCATCTTGCAAGTCTAGAACAACCTTCTTTATAGCCTATCAAAGGAGCCTATCATTCTTGCATGCATGGACCATATTTCAGTGGGATTTTGGGCTTTATTTGGCATGTCATACCTCTGAATTTTTCTGGTTTGGTGGTGTGATTTTTTTTTTTTTTTTTTTTTTTTTTTTTGGGTTTTGAAAATAATAATAATAATAATAATAGATAAAATGAAGTGTTGGAATCCAGTGGAATCAATGAAGGCTAGTATAATATATTTTAGTGGGGAAAAGAAAGATGGGTATGTTGATTAGATAATAAAATAAAAGTGGGTATGTTATGTTTTCAAAAAGAAGAGATCCCTGGTGTTGGTTTTTTTTTTTTTTTTAAATGAAACACAAGAAAGATAAGATAAATAAATAAAGGTATTCTTGTCGGGGGTGAGGGAGTCGGTGAGTGGTCTGGAAAGGTATGTTGGCAAATTGTCAAAAAAGAGGAGAGAAAATAATAATAATAAGACAACTTGTTTGATGAAGGGAATGAGTGGAGTTTGTTGAGGTGGACACCACTTGTTCTTGGGATAGTCTCAGGCACATAGAGAGAGAAACAACTGGGTTTTTGAAAGAAGATGGTGAGTTGAGAAACCCCCAACACAGATGAGAAAGTGGTTACTTTTCTAGAGAAAATCTAGAAATGGGTCACTGATCTTTCAACTGATTCACCCAAAAAAAGATCTTTCAACTGGGTTCTTTATTTGGATCTAGGAAAGACCAGAGCTTCAGTTTCCGATCTGAGAGACTCAAGACACTAAAAACTAGAAGCAAAGAAATAAAGTAGTGTTGAAGATTGATGAGGGGGAGAAAGAGAAGGAGAAGAGGGCGTGGATGGGTGATGGTGTCGTCGTTGATCGATGGCGAGCCTCTGGCGAGCCGCGATGGGCGGCAGCACCCAATCCACCGACGACTACGAGGGCGTGGAGTTCTGGTCTTCACCGGAGCGGTGCGGCTGGCTGACCAAACAAGGCGAGTACATCAAGACCTGGCGTCGCCGGTGGTTCGTCCTCAAGCAAGGCAAGCTCTTCTGGTTCAAGGAATCCACGGTCACCCGCGCCTCCAAGCCATGTGGCGTCATCCCAGTGGCCACGTCTCTCTCTCTCTTCCTTTTGGCAGTTTGCACAAGGATTCTGTTGCTTGATGTCTCCTAGAGAGAGAGTGTGTTTGGTGTAGGTGACCAAGATGGATGATGGTGATGATGCTCTGATCTTGAAGGTGAATGTTGAATTGGGTTTAGTGGCAGCGGAATCAAGGTATGTGTAGAAAATTTTAGCAGACTAGGGTGAGGTCCGGCGGACGGCTAAGGTGCGGTTGCCGCCCGCCGGGGAAGCGAAAAATACGAGGTTTTAAACCCGCTCTGATACCATGTTAAAAATTGATGTATTATTGATTGTTGTATGTTGTAAATTACAAATGGTGAGGGGCTCCTTATATAGGAGATGTAGTGGAGTAGGTAGTAGTAGGTGGTAGTGGTAGGTGTGTAGTAGGTGGTAGTAGGTGGTGGTAGGTGTAGTAGGTGGAGTAGGTGATGGTAATTTTAACAGTTCTTGAGACTCAAACTCGACCTCCAAAGGTTCAAAACTCATAATTTTGGTTCCAAAACATGCAAATACATTATATATCATGAGTACACAAGCAAGATGAGATCAATTGCTCAAAATCATGGTCCAATTCTTCCAAATTAATCAACATTTCTTTGTATAATCAAGGCTCATGCATTCAAACTTTACATGAGCCCCTTACCTACAATAATCAAACATGCATGTCAAGAATATGGTGCAAATGGTGTTCATTCTCATGAAGCTCAATTAAAACCATGCTTGCATGTATGATCCAACCCACAATCTTTCATAATTCACATATTACATGCTAGATTATGTAATTTCATAGGAATTCACTACATGTATGCACACATGGACTTCAATCTCAGCTTAATCCACTCAATTCATGATCTAACTCACCATTTAATCTTCAATTCACAAAATCACAACTCAAACTCATGAATTAAGGGTTGATTACTCACCTAGGAGCTTTAATCTTCCAAACTTATGCTTAATTCTTGAGTTGGTCTTCAAATTATTCAAGCTTCAAGATCAAAACTTCAATTTGAGCTCTCTCTCTCTCTCTCTCTCTCTAAGCCGGCTTCACTCTCTCCCTAAGATATAAAATCTGATTTGAGCCTCAAAACAACAAAATGAGAGTGTAATTGGCCCTTTATAAGCTCCTTCCCAAACACATTTCTTTAATATTAAATAATTGAGCACCATTTCATTAATTTAATCTATTTAATTTGATCCGAATCAATTTTCAATTAAATTTCACCGCAGGCTCTAAAAATTACGCTAATCACAATGGCGTAATCAATTTCGGATTTTGTGGCCGATAAGGCCTTCAATTTTCAGTTTATAACAGTAAGTTGAACAGATATTTCTACGGTGAACAGATAGAAATTCAAAATCACCTATATTCATATGAATGGCACTCAAAATCATATCAAACACATAATCACATTCATAATAAGGATCAATTAGCATAATACGAAGCAGGGTTATCACAATTTGTGTGTGTGTGTGTGTGTAATCCTTATGGTTGTAACCATGTACCCTGCACTATATTCATGTAGCACTGGGTTTACAAGACATGCACCAATAGGTTGTAGACTTATAAGGGTCAAACACCTTTAATCGAGCTGGTATACTTTTCAATTAATGGGAGTAAACAAGGTAATAGGTGCGGGTGCATGTTCAAACGTCAGATCTTCCTAAGCCTAAATTTTAGGATATTGGGATATGCGTAGTATGAATACGGGGCCAAGTTTTAAACAGTTATATATATGGCATATGGTATAATAGTCTTAGATAGGATATTGTAAATTATTTAGAAATGTACTTAAAATTAAATGGGATTTAAAGAAAATATAAAATTTATCTCTCATTCATGTGAGAAGCTAGAAATGTTTCTTTGCTAACAAATCTAAGCATCTTTTTTTTCAAACGTCATATAAAATTTGAGAATCCAAGTACCTAATTTGGATGCATGCATCAGACATGAATCCCATATCCTTACCCATGTCATATCTGGTGGACACGAGTACATTGGGGAAAGTATGCGAGTCCATGTAACGCAATGACTAGATAATAAATAAATTATGATAATTGAATATGCCACTTAACAAAACTTAATTTGACCATTGTTGAGTGACAATCAAGTAGTTCATTACCAGTAAAGCCTGTATTCAAAACTATGTGACACCAATCAAAGAGGGAACTAAGTGACTGGACAGGGGCTGTCCATTTCTCTGAGGGGGAGTAACTATGAAAAAAATACATAGGAAAGGAACGGTGTCACCATAGTGCTGTGAACAAATGACTGAGAGTCAAATGGGGCACCACAGGTTGACCAAGATGATTCTGATGAACCCAGGCAACTTACCACAGAAAGATATGTTTGGGCAGCAAAGAAGAGAAGCAATGGCAGAGGAAAAAAGCAGCAGCAGTAGTGGAGCATGAAGATAAACAAAGAACAGAGAAAAAAAGAGGCAGAAACAAAGAACAAAAAAGAAGATGAAGAAGTAACAAGAGTAGAGAAGAGAAATAATGAGAGGGAAAAGACAGAGAGCAACAAGAGAAGGGGAGCACAACAGCCATGATATCTTGGAAATTTTCAAAATCATCCAACCACCAGAAGATGTTTAGAATCAAGTTTAAGGCACAAACCTAGTTCCCTTCTGTTAACAAGTTTCAATCCTAGTGCATCATGTGTCAAGCCACTTAAGTGGTTATGTGTGTAGCATGTGACCATTAAGTGGATGTGGACAACACCCACATCATAGGCCAGAAAATAAAACAATTAAAATTAATGCCCAAAATAAATAAGTATTAAAGAAAAAAAAAAAAAAACCTATACTCCATTAAAAATAAATAAATATTAAAGAAAATATTGGTTGCTGTGCTGATTTGCCTATACTTTCATAAGTTGTAACCCTGTCAAGTCCTCTTTAGCCGTTCTACGGTACTAATTACTGCCCATTTTATTATATTGGTGCCCATACAGTTAATTCTAGTTTAATGAACTTTCATAATGCCATGGACTTGTAATTGCTAACCTATTGTAATTTCTCTGTGATTCCATTTCATGTAGAACCACAAAAATCCATCCAAGAGATTGCAAAAGCTCTAACTGGTTCACTTATTTCTTTGAAGGTATTGAATTTCATTGTTCATGTATGCTATCAATGTTATTGTGTCATTTTCTATTACATATATCATGTTTCTCAGTTGAGCACTTGAGAAGCACTTTTGAGTGTGTATTCAAGATTTTCACAAAACCAGTAACACACTGGAAGTGTATGTTTTAAATTTCTACCGCACAAGTTGGCCCTGAATGCATGGCTGTGAATCATGTATATCTCATGTTCAGGAAAGATATAACTGATGGCATCAAAACAGTTTATATCATTTAGAGAACCATGGTTAAGGGGAAAAAAAATGATAGATCCAGAAATTGTTATTAAGGACAAGTTTGGGAAGACTAAATAAGTGCACTTTTTGTCTTTTTAGACTAAAAAGTTGAGGTTGAAAATATGAATGTTTGGGTTAACTTTTTGACTTTTTATGGAAAAATGTGTAATAAAAAATTGTAAAAATTAGTTTGTAGGAGAAAATTAGAATTGGGAATTGTGTAGCCGTAATTGTTGACTTTTGGTGAATAGTGATGACTTTTTAACTTTTTGAGTAACTTTTTGACTTTTTGGCTTTTTTTAAACTACCCAAACTTGGCCTAAAGGTTAGGATGGTTACTGAAGCTAAGGGGTATGCAAGACCATATTAATTAGAGTTGGGGAGTCAGCGGGATGAAAGTGTGACTTCTAAAGTTTTGGTCCAAATCCTGTAAGATTGAATAATGTTTCATTATAAGGATGGCCCGTTTGACCAAAAAAAATAAAAACCTACAGTGTATTGCAGAAGGAAAGTTAAAACTTGGAGTAAGACAGAAGTTCAGCTCTGGGATTTCATTCCCAGGAGTTATCTGTTTGTCTTCAATGATCATTTTAAGCAAAAAGGACCACATAGAAGCTGGGAAATTGTGCTTTTAAGTTTCATTGGTCAGATCAATGCAAGGAGAGGAGAGCATGCAACTCTATTATATTCATGGGTTGCTAATATCTGAAAGGTGAGAGAAACAGTAAAGCATGTCATAATATAATAGGGAGAAATGAATTTTTTTTAACATTTGGACTATCTTGTAGAATTTCTTTGGCATTTCTTCTGTTTCTGCTATGTCTTTTCAAAAGAAAAAATGTCTTATGTTCATTTGTATTGATCTTTCTTGCTTTAGTTTTTCTCTAAAGGCTTTAGGTCCCTCATGTAACTGTTTGGTCTTGATTTTATATTTGTATGAGTTGGGCAGCATTTAAGTTGCTTATAAATGTTGAAGTTGCAGAGTACTTATCACAATCGTGAAATGGAAAATCTTTTCATTTTTGGGTTACTTTGTTTACTTTCCTTCCTACACAAGTACTAAATCCACAAATCACCTTGGCATTATGGCATGAAAACGAAACTTTCATCATTCTTAATTATTCTAGGTAATCCAAGCAGACCAAGAGAACAGGAAATTGATATTCTCTGAAAAGGAAGCAATGTGGTCAAAGTTTTCTCAACAAATCAATGTAGGGGATATTTTTGAAGCAAGGGTGGGCTCCGTCGAAGATTATGGTGCTTTTGTTCATTTACTTTTTCCAGATGGTACTTATTGTATTTGAGAAATTATTTGTATATTCTGCATTACGACAATGTTTTTAATAGTGCATGTTAAACTATGGTGCAGGTTGTTATCACCTCACTGGACTTGTACACATCTCAGAGGTGTCATGGGATTTAGTTCAAGACGTAAGAGACATTCTAAGTGAGGGTGAAGACGTGAGGGTCAAAATTATTAAAATAGATAGGTGATTTGGCATCCTTTTGCTACATTTACTTTTTGCTGATCTTTATTCCATGCCATACAGTAACATCCATTGCGTAATTACATGAAGGCCAGTCATTGATAATTAATACATTATTCTGTCTCTATAACTTACATGAACACTATAATTAAGGGAATCAGATGAACCTTCAAGTCCTGCGGTGACGTTCAATAACTTTATTGTGTACATATTGATCTTGTTCAGATTATGACTACTGGGTAGAGCTGAAGTCTAATGGGTCAATTTTGTTTCTATTGTATCTGAGCCTATCATAAGGCCTCTTTTGAGAACAGGTTATTTTAATAACTTTTTAACTTTCTACGAAAAAATGTGTAAAAAAGTAGAAAAAATGTGTAAAAAAGTAGAGAGAATGATGTGATAACTTATAGTAACTTTTTGATTTTTTGGCTAAAATGTGTAGTTGACTAAAGGAGAAAGTTACTACGTGTATTTCCAATTCTGCACTAATAATCAATTTTTTGTTTTTTTTTTAAATAAATATTTTTGCATCTAGTTTGTTTCTAGCAGTCTTTGCCTTTTATTTATTTGTTTATTTATTTTATTTCTCAACTCTATTCAAACCTTGGTTCAGTGGTTAAATTCTTGGCCTACTAACCTTGAGGTTATGAGTTCAAGTCTAAGGACAACCACTTTTTGTATCCAATCTAATCCCTCCCAAACACCCGTTAAGGGTACTAATTGGTGGTGGTTGTTTTTTCTTTTCTTCAACTTTATTTGAACATTTGCCCAAACTTGTAGTTCTATGTTTAGTGTCTACTTGATTTTTTTCTTTGTGTTTTCTTTAGGAAACTGCTATTGAAATTTGAGGTGCTACATGTAAAAGGTCGACGAAGGTGTTAAATTCATTTACACAATATAAAAGGAAAAAAATAACCTGGTTTTTTGGTTTGATGGAGTGTATGAATCTACTTGTATACTTACGTTATTTTTAAAATTTAGTGTTTTTTTTTTTTTTTTCTTTCAGAAGGTCTAAATTCTGTTTGGAATTTGTAACCAATTTTTAATATTTTGTGCATAGCATAATGTCAGCATTGTCACTGACCCATAACCACAGCTAGATGATTTTCACACACACACACACACACACACACATATATATATATTTAAATTTGCAGTCGGCAAAGTAATTTAAATTCACAGATAACAGATAAGAGAAAGAGGCATTGGCAAAAGTAATAAAAAATGATGTGGTGAGGGATGCGCCTGCATCATTTGCCTTTGACAGAGAAGTGGCGAATACATTTGCTCATGTTGAGCACCAAAATCTGTTAACAAATCATTGAATACTTAATGTACTCTGTCCTGGTGAAATCAAGTCAACTGAAGAAGAGGCAACCAGTTCTTGTCCTGTAAGTGTACAAGCAAACGACTTCTTTATAATTCATACTATATTCTATATCATTGCTGTGATGCCATTGAAGTTAGATTTCACACAGAGAAGGCCTTGGGTATTTGTCCAATGATAAGAAAGCTGCTAATGTTATCACCTACAGTGCAGTTGAACATTTCTACATTGAGCATGTTGAGGTAGATTTGTCACTTAGAAGACTATACTCTGGGCATTTTATTAACATACAGATCAACGTTAAGTGCCAAACTTCAAATTAGTAATGATAGACCTCCTTTGTAGCTCAAAATTTGCAATCCTAACTTTGATATGATGTGATTGCATTAGATGTTTGGAATTTTCTAATTATACCAATTTTTTTGTAACATTCTGATTTTATTTCCTTTACATGATAACATCTTTCTCAATATAATAAGTTAGGGCCTTAAATTGAGAACTTGTTGCAGGGAAAAGTCGAGAATTACATTGTCAATCAAACAATTGGAAGAAGATCCACTGCTAGAAACTTTGGACAAAGTAATTCCTCAGGTGTGAAAAGGGTGTGAAGTTTTCTTGTATCCACTTTGCTAATGTTTATAGCGCATCTCTCATTCTTTTCAGAAATAATTCAGTTATTGATGATAACTAAATTTACCAGGATGGGTCGGTTGTTACTGGTTCTTCTAGTACGAGCAGCCCCTATAATATTGAACCTCTTCCAGGGCTTCAAACAATACTGGAAGAGCTACTACGGGAAGAGGGGTATGATTTGCATTCATGCTTGAGTAGTGATTTTTTCTTTTTCTTTTTTATTGTTTTGGAGAAATTTTAGGGTTTTGAACTGAAAATATCGAACTTTTTAATCAATTGAAATTTAATTTTTTTGTTAGTATTCTTTGAAAGTTTATCTTAGAGGTAAATCCTAACTCCTTATTCCACGAACATTTATGTTGTTTCACATAGCTGTTTGATAGGATCATTAAATCCTATTCGGTGTGCATTAATTACTTTAAATGCCTCTTCTCCTAGTGCTACTTCATTTATATTATTCTATGTTATTTTCTTTCAACATTTACAATTTCCTTTAAATTTTTGTCCATGATTTTCTCAACTACATTCCTATGCTCTCTCTCTCTCTCTCTCTCTCTCTAGCTCGAGTAGATTGTCCTACCTATTTCGTGTCTTGTAAATAAACTATAGATCATCAAATAAGTTTGTAAAGAAGCTGGTTTATCAAAGTTAATGTGCTTATTCTTTTCCTGTTAGCAAGTTATACATAATTATGAGAATTGTGTGTTGACCAGCACAATTTGTTCATTTCTTAACGTTCATATGTTCTAGGTTTCTATGTCAATCCAATTCTCTTAGACCATCTTCTTCACCAACACTATTCCATTGAAATGTGAAAATCCTATGTCTACTTCTCACTGCACCTATTCCGTTCATCTTTTTGAAAAATAATTCCTCTAACCCCAGATACATCTGTCAGTGCACCATGCTTAGGAAATTCAGGGATATATGTCCATAAAGTCTGATATAAGTTTCACTTTGACTGTCTTTCACAATTCCTTTTCTTCTAGGAAGCACACACAAACACTTCTATGGAGGTGTGTCATGTCGGACAGCCATGTTGGACACGACTCTTTGTGGACACTCCTAAAAATGAGTCCAACCCTAGAATTCTCCGAACATGACCCTCATCATGAATCTCTTCATAGTAACAATGTTTTGCATTCTTTGGAATGCAACTTGTGCACTCTAAATATATTTTGAACCATGTATAAGATGAATACATCATGTGTATTTCAATATTTTACAATTGTTTTGCATTCTTTAGAATGCAATTGTTACACAATGATATTTTGATGTATAAGTCGTGAAATATATGGGTTTTAAATTATAGTTAGTGCTATCGTACATTTTTTCATATATTTAATAAATATATAAAAATATAAAATTTTAACTTATTGTTTCTTGCATTTTTTGAAATTCATTGTGTCGGCATATATGATATATATGCTCTACTTAGGTGACCCAAGAATAATTTGGGTATGTGCACAAAGAAGAAGAAAAAGAAAGAACACTTCACTTATAGGTGTTCACTGGTCAAGTTAGTTTGGGTTCACTGTCAGCCCACCATCTGAACTGATCTCTTCCGTTGGAGTTATGATTCTAAACTGTAAGACAAAAATAAAGTCAAAATTAATTATTAAATCTCTAAATATAAGTTGATGCCAATAATAAGTATTAAATCCCTTTGTTTGGATTGATGGTTTAAGAGAAGAAGTGAAGAATTTGGAGCAGAAAATTTAGTTAAAATCATGTTTGGATTACTTTTAAAAAAGGGAAAGGGAAGTGTATGGAGGGGAGAGAGGACAAACATTTTAAGCACTTCACTTTCCCTCCGAAATTGAGAGGAAACAGAAGGAAAGTGAAGTGCTTCTCATAATAATATATTAAAGTACCTGATTAAGTATATAGCATCTGCAGTATCACTCATCTACATTTTAGACGTGCTTATAAACCTAAGACCACGGAGGAAATAATAAGTACACTATGGAACTTGTAGTGAATTTGATAGATGTTCTTTATTTTCTTAAAGAAGAGGAGACTGAGATATGCCTTTTCTGAAGTATCCATAACATCTCTTAGGGGAGCTCTATCAGGTTCCAATGCGCATAATCACAGTTCTGTTTTTTTTATTATTTATTTATTTATTTTATGTGTGTCTATAATCAGAACCTGCTATAAGATAAATGCTTTTAGTAGAGCACTATGACTGTTACGTGGAGTTCCCTCATTCTTAACTGCTGTTTGATATTTGGGCATATTATGGTATGACGTTTATGGTTTTCTGCTCCAGAATAAGTGAAATAAGAATCAGTCGGCAAGGATTTGAGAAGCGGGTAGTTTCACAAGATCTGCAGCTTTGGCTTTCAAATGTATGTTGCTTGTGTTCCATAGTATATAGCATCTACTGATTTTGGTGATAGTTTTTTATTCTCATTTTGCATCACCACCACAGGCACCAGCTATTGGTAAGCAGTTCACTCTCCTTGCCCGAGCTGGAAGACAGGTTCTTTTACTCTCTCTCTCTCTCTCTGATCAAAATTTCATTTTGTTTCCATCAAAATGGCCGAAACATTTTTGTTTCCAAGGAAATCGGAACGAAACACTAATGGAATACTGAAATTCAAGTGTTTCCACTGAAACATACCGAAATGCATCAAGAAACTAACGAATTACAAAACATATTGAAAAATGAGTATTTTGACAACTATTAAAAACATTCAACAATAGTCATTTATTTACCTCTTTTGTCAAAAGAAAAGATTTGAGAAACATAAAACAATCTTAAATTTAATAGAAATTTGATAAACTAGAAACAAGAAAGGAGAGATGGAAAATTTGATAAACATTGTCACTGATATTTTTTCTCGATTTTGGTTTTTATTTCCAAACATTTTTCATGCATTTTCAAATTCTTTTGACATAACTTTTATTTTTTCGAAATGTTTTTCATTTCCAAGATAATCGAAACAACATACTGAAATTAAATTCTGATCGCTCTGTACCTCTCTCTAAGATACTTAAAATCATTGTTTTGTGATTCAGGTGCAGGAAATACAACTAACAACATCACTTGATCAGGAAGGAATTAAAAGGGCATTGCAGCGAGTACTGGAACGTGTCCCATGAGGCTCATGAATTCAAAAGTTCCATTCTGCAGAGGACACCATCGATTCATCGTCCCAAGTCTAACGTAAGACATAAGAGTAGAAGAACAAAATTAAAAAATGTGTCTGCAACAGGTTTCATGTTTTCCGGTTGTGCAGCTACTGTACATACAGAAGTCAGTTTGAGCAGAAACTTGGCCGACATTTTCTGTATATTATATAAGTAGTAACTGCATAGTCCTCCAACCGATTTTCTTTTTTGCTTCTGATTTACTGACACTGCATCTGTTTCCATCTCTACTGCTGTTGTGTTTGCTAGCCAATGAATCTCATTACTGCTATTACACTTTGATTGGATGCCGACCCGGTGAGACAATTGTTATTTTTTAATTTTTATTATTTATTGTTATGGAGGTTGCAAAATTGGTCTGCTTGTAATCGTCTGTCTTGTATTGTTTTAGAATTTTACATTTTTGTTTTTCGTGTTTTCAGAAATAAATGTGCATTTTGTTCTCTTTTTTTTTTTTCCTTCTTTTTTTTTCTTTTTTCTTTTCAAAAACAAAAAAAATATTCAATGACTACAAAAATTTAAGAACTAACATGGTTACTTAAAAAAAAGTGAAAGTAGCAGGCACAGAATACCTAGTTAAAATGTACATTGTTTTTAGAAAAAGAAAAATCCTAGAAATAGTATTCTAATTGAGTAATGTAAGAGATCTTAAAAAATTTATTAAAATTTCTATTAAATATCTCACATGGGTGTGGGACTCAGACAATGTGGGTCTTATGGAGTCCTACAGTCATGTGAGACATTTGGTAGATTTTTTATTAGAATTTTTGAGATTTTTACCATTTTTGTTCTAATTAATACATTTCACCAAACAATTTTTATTTTTTTGGTAAACTGCAAAAATAGAAAATAAAGATGATACCAAATAAGCTTTCTTGAAAAGCTTTCATACTGTTTTCATTTTGTGTGAACATATTTTGGGAATTCATAAAACAATTTAAAACCTTTTCTTAAAATGGGGCATCTTTCACAAAAATTGTTTTGAAAAGTTTTTTTTGACTGAATTTTTAGTATTCATTTTCATTGGTGCAGGACCTTTCCCATATCATGTGTTGAATTTTTAGTATTCATTTTCATTGGTGCAGGACCTTTCCCATATCATGTGTTTTATTAGGGTAAATTACATTTTAACCCTCTGTGGTTTGTCCATAAAACACGGAATCCCCTATAATTTTATTTGTAACACTTAAACCCCTAAACTTAATACCAGATTGTAATTTTTGTCGAATCCATTTATTTAAACAGAACGCGGACTTCACAAGCATAAAAGTATAGTGCAAGAGAGCGTGGGTTACACTCTTAGACCAAAACACTTCTTCTCTCTCCTTCATTGTATAAGCATGTAATACCATCATCTTCCATGCAAAACCACCAACATCACTTTTTATTTCTTCTCGTCACCACCAACCAACATCACCACCATCATATTCCATGCATAGCCACCACAATCACCTTTTATTTCTCCTCTCATCTCACCACCATTGCCTTCCATGCAAAATCACAACCAACCAACATCCCCACTATCATGAAATCATACCCACTTTTCTCTCTCTAAAAATTATCCAAACCCACTTTTCTCCTTATGATTCAAATTAGTAACAAACCCAACCCATGGAATCAAACAATTAATATGTGAAAACATTTAAATTTTTGAAATAGCATTGATGGGATTCATACCAACCAAACCCACTTTTATCTTCTCCAAGACACATGCACAAACAAGCCCGAAAAGATCAGATTTTCAAATTCAAACGCACCATTTCAAACCCTTGTATCTCTTTCGTCGTAACTCAGTTTTACCTCATTTTTGCTTCATTGGATTCACCTTACGGCCTAGTTTTCGTATCACTCCTCACACGCATCGTTCCATTCTTTTTGCGTTCTGTCGGAGCTTTGAAAGATGACCTTAAATAAGAATTTTTTCCCATTTCCAACATTTCTTTGGCCCATCTTTCGGACTCCATAATTTTCTCAATTCGTAACAAATTTATCCCGTTCTTTCACCAATCTCTTCACCTTGCTTTATACTTCATCCTACGCCACCTCGTTTTCTCACTTCTTCCTAAAATGGATGGTTACCAAAAATTGTCCGAAAACTAACTTCACACATTCCAAAGAAACATCTCCAAATCTATTTCTTTCTTTTCCATCATCCACCATCTTCTGCTGCTTCATTACACTTTGTAAAGGGTGGTTCTTGGTTTTGGCGAAGCTGGGCGATGGCGGTCATGACAATCCAGCGGTGACATGGAGCTAGCGGTGATGGTGATCGTGGAGCTCAATGAGGGATCTAGGGAGGGGGGGCCGCATCCCAAAAAGTTTGAAAAATATCATATATTATACTAGAAATTTTAAAATAATTTAAAATTATAGGAGTTCGCACCCCCAAAGTTTTTTAGATAATTTCAAAATTATAGAGTGGCCTCCCAATTTTTTAAACTATAGAGTAGCCCCCCCAAAGTCATAATCCTAGATCCGTCCCTTGTGGAGCTTGATGGTAGTGGTGATAGAACTTGGTTGTGAAAATGGGTGAAAGGTGTGGGTTTGGTATTGAAAGGTGGTGGTGATGATGGTTGTCACAATGAGAGAGAAGATATATATATACACACACACACACATATATATATAGAGAGAGAGATACGAAATAATACAAATAAAATGATTGACTGTAAAATATATAGGTCATTTATGATTTTTTATTACTTCTGTTACGTCCGTCCAAAATTACAGTTTGGTATTAAGTCTAGGGGTTTAAGTGTTACAAATAAAACTATAGAGGGGTTTCGTGTTTTTTAGGCAAACCATTGGGGGTTAAAAAATATTGGTACCACTACAACAAAATGCACTTTTGGCGATCAAATTTGGTGACTAAAAAAAATTTAGTCGCCAAAAGTTGTGGAATTGGCGACCAAAAATTATTTTAGTCGACAAAAGTACAATATTTATTTTTTACTAAAAAAAAATTTAGTAGCTAAAAATGCCACAATTGGTGACTAAAAAATATTTTAGTTACTGTATAGTTAGTTTTTGCTACTAAAATTATTTAGTCACCGAATAAAAAATAAAAATTTACTTTTTATCTTTCAAAAATTTATTTCTAGCAACTAAAAAATATTTTTGACACTGTATAGTTAGTTTTGGCTATTAAAATTATTTAGTCGCCGAATGAAAACAAAAATTTACTTTTTTATTTTTGGCGACTAAAATTTGGTCGCCAAAAATTTATTTTCAGCGACTAAAACAATTTTCAATCGCCAAAGAACTAAAATATTTGGAAAGAGAAATTTCAAATTTTGGAGGGATTTATAAAATATTTTCAGCGACTAAAAAATATTTTAGTCGCCAATAACCATATGTATATATTATTCTTTCCCCATTTTTTTGCCCTAAATTGAATTTATTTCTTTGAAAGAGCTCTCTCTTCCCCATCTGTGGGTCATCGATCTCAATCTCTTAAGCCACTCTATATGTCCTTACCACCATTGCTGACACCACCGGCGGTTTTTGCTGACACATCTGACTATAAGCCTTGTGGTGGTGAAGCCAAAGAGCAACTGATCGGTAGTGGCTGGGCTAGGGCTAGGGCTAGGGCTAGGGCTCCACATCGATCGAGCCGCCACCGGTTTAACTAATTTGATGGTGGGTCCACCATCATTCTATGGGAACAAGCCGACCACGCTTGATCTCCAAAAAACAAAAAAGCACATTTATTGAAAACTTTGGGCGACTAAATTTTTTGGCGACTAAAAAAAATTAGTCGCCAATACGTTTCCCGACAATCATCGAGCGACGAACTGGCGACCAAAAAATTTAGTCGGCAAAAATCTTCGGTGACTAAAAAATGACTTTTGGCGACTAAAAATTTAGTCAGCAAAAGTGTAATTTGTTATAGTGTACCATGAAATTCCAATGTCTTTTCTCTTTACTGTAGACAAGGTGTATTTTGGAATGTATTTCAAAACTTGAAAATTTAATAACTTTTGATTTGAAACTTCGTATTTTGTAAAATTTATATTTTTGGAATCGTCTCGTTGAAAACTATCAAACAAGATATATGATGACTATGAAATTTTGAAAAGAAAAAAACATTCACTGAGTTTTCTGACTAAAAGTCAAAGAAATTTCACTGACTTAATTGTCTAATTTCTGAAATTTTTCTACGAGAAAATAAGCAATTTTGAAATTTCTCTTAGCAAGTATGAAATTTCTTTGAGCAATTTTGTTAGTGAAACTTAAAGTTAATTACAGTGACATTTAACTAATTTTAGTGAAATTTCTCTGACTTTGGGTCAATGAAATTTTATTTTTTTTATTTTCTTTTGAATTTCATATTAATCATGAATTTTGTTTGGTAGATCTTGATAAGAGGAATTTAAAAATTTAAATTTTATGAAAAATGGATATATAAATAAAAATTTATTAAATTTAAAAATTTTTAAGTCATTTTAAAGATAGTATAAAAAACTGTTAATACTGGAGGTCCTTTGGTTTGGTCTGAAAATGACATTGGAACTCTTAGAGGACTTGAACAAAACTTTTTTCTTATATCCTTAAACGAGTTCGGATCCTCTACCGGATTTGTCTGTGGGAGTTTCTGTAGTGCCCTACCCCAAAAAAAAAGGGTTGTTTTGGGGAAAAAATTCCAAAAAAAAAAAAAAAAAAAAAAAATTCTAAACAGAGAAGAAGGAACAAAGAAATTGAAAGAGAAGAAGAGAGGGAGAAAAGAAGACACGATGCGACAACATTTCGGCAACCCTCACCAATGCGACCACCTACCACCATTACCTTACGGTTGACGTCCTCTCCTCCGCCTCCACTAATGCTACCGCAGCGAGCCCCTTTCTCTCTCTAAAGCGGCAATGGTGAAATACTAACCCTTGTTTTCCGAGGTTTTGGCGGTGCGGCTGTGATGATAGCAATGATGGTGTAAGAGATTTCTGATAAGGTAGCTTGGCGAGGTGATGGTAGCGGTATAGCGATTCTGATTTGGATCCAATCCATTTGATGTTGTGGATCCAGGTTTCACTGTCTTATATAGTTATCCATGTCTTGTTTCCTCTTATATCTCTTTGAGTTTGGCTATTAGGATGTGTTGGTTGCGTTTGGAACAGGTTGGTAGCTTGTTTTTCAAACTATTGTTGCCCAGAATTTTGTTCCTCCGCTTGAGCGACATTTCTTGCTCTCAAACGGTGTTTGTGAATCTTCAATACTTTTGCAGGTTTGCAAAAATACTGAGAGTTTGTATTATTCACTCGAGTGAAGCTTTCTGTGCTTGAGCA